CAGGACCGTATCCGCTCTGCAGGCCCAGGATACTGGGTAACAGTGCAACACTACACGCTCTCTTTGTCTGTTATCAGAGAAGGCTGAAGTATTTGGATTTCGGTTTGGCTCGAAACGATTCTCAGTCCATGTTAACAGAGTTACACTCATCCAACTCGATGAATTTATACTGAATAAAGAAGGCAGATGAATATGAAAAGATCCGCTCATCAGCAAAGATCTTGGAACATCAGTGGGCGGACAATCGAAAAACGCTATAACTTTAGGGTTGACATTCACTCACAACTGCATACACCATCAGCATTGATAGCATTACATTAATGTTCAAAACTAATGCTTCGATGCTGCATCACAACTGCAAACAGATCATGGAAACGTTTTATGGTTGCTTCAATGACAAATTCAAGTCAGGATAACCGATGACGCCCACTGCACTGGGAACGAAGTCTTAAGATTTACTGGACTGAACAACCGCCCGCATACCCACAAAACGGAAGAGTGCGCATGATCAATAAAATCGATGTAACGGGACATTTTTCTGGTTGTGCATGACTAGACGTGACTCCAATGTGATTCCACGGCTAACCTTATTCGAACCTGCTTAGAGATCCTGAGGCTTGAGTTGAGCCATACGTGATCGAGAAGTTTGAAATCTCCAACTGGTGATCAGCGGTTTTCACACGACTTCTAAAACCCAGTGACAATACTTCCAGCCTTCCAGAACAAGCGTACGTTTGGCTCAGAGATCAGCTTGTGAGGTCAGCGCGCCAGCCACCATCATCAATCCACACAGAAATATACGGCAGTCAAGCATCGGTGTTGAACATGGATGTCATGCTGTCGATAATGATGATGAAATCACCTTCCACTTAGGTACAGACAACACTCAATTCACACTGGCGCTTGGCAAAGTAGTAGTGTCTGATGAAGGAAGTACGCATCCGCAGAGCTATTATAGGATAAAATCCACAAGGATGCCTTTAGATATCTGGGGAAAGCGATGTCAACAACAGCGGACTTCACATTGTGCAAGCCCGTAACTAGCAGTAAATCGCTGTATGACTTAAACTATGACACTGTCAACAGAGTAAAGTTACTACCAAAACATACGTAGTGTTGAACTCAGCAGCCGTTTGTTAAAGCTGAATTGGAGAATCTGAAGCACCGGTACGGGTTCATGGTGTCCTGTGCTTTGCTTTTTAGAATGGTGGTCGGTTTGGAACTGAAGTAAAAGTACTTGGAATGGCCATTTCCAACCCCGGTATATGAGCCTATGTTCCTATAACTAATTTCGTTATCTTTTCAGAAAGGTTTGGTAAACAATCAGTGGTTTTATTGCTGGGCTACGTTCCGCTTTTGACACAAAGACTTCTTTAGACCAAGTGGGTAAGTAAGCAGGTTGATTGGGTTTTAAGGCAGTCAGGGAACCAATCGGTGAGGTTTCTTATGACAAGCCGACTTGATCAGTGCGGGGCGCCGGTCTGAAGTTCTTTTTGTTGATTAGTGAGGATAACTAGTGTTTATGATAGATTGGCTAGGGGAGGGAGTTGTCTTCATGTTGAACCCGGATTTCTCGTCCTTCCTTTTTCAGTCTCGGTTACCTTAATCGCATATTCCTCTTGGGGGTAGTCGAGGGGTGCCGGGACAGTTGGTTTGGGATTAGGGTGGTTGATTGGATCTTACTCTGCTTGGATTTTGTACTTTTAAACCAAGACACTTTTGCTGATAACTCCACATCGCCTCGTGCCATATCGGCTGATCTGAAACAGCTCTCCACACGCTTGCAAGTTCTACGCTCTCTATTCTATTTACGCTGGGATACTTGGCGATTTCCACCGTTTCGGCCACCAGTTGCTGTGATGTGAATCCTAAACCCTGTCTCAGGATGCCCACATTTTCCAAATCTATCCTTTGCCCAGTGTCTAGTGCATGTCCTTCCGTTGCCGAATCTTTGACTACCGCCTGATATTCACCTACGTTTCTCGGTAGTTCATTACTGGACCGCTTATGCTCACCGATTCTGGTGCCCAATTCCCTGGCTGTCTGACCTATATAAAACTTCGTGCCGTTGTTACATTTTATTTTGTATGCACAGTTCCTAGTCCGATCAACCAGAAAGCGATCCTTCAACTGCACCAACACCGTGCGCAGTCTTTCCCTTCTGGAATGCTACTCTAATGTCAGCTGTATTCAGTACCCTTCTGATGACTTCAGTTGTGTTTGTTTTGTATGGAATGACCGCTATTCCAATCCACTCCTTGTTGGGCCTTGGAGTTGGCTCCCAACTCAACCTGCTTACTTACTCACTTGGCCTGACGAAGCTTTTGTGTCAAAAGCGAAACGTTGCCTAGCAATAAATTCACCGATTATTTACCAAACCTCTCTGAAACGATGACTTCCCAATCGGTCCTAAACATTTTCCAATAAGTCTGTTATCTAGTCAGAATAAACTGATAGACGCAGTCAACCAATGTGTGGACCAAGTGGGTCGATTTCTCTATCCCAAAGTGCACGTCAAAATATGCTCTGTGCATAAACTGGGTGTACGGTGACTAATCATCACTGCCCCGCTGAACACTAACACTTTCGGAATGGGATTGTGGAGTATGATTCCGATCAATGTTTTTGAGACAACTCAATCACCATCGCCCAAAATATTCGTTGCCATCACTAAGGTCAGTCTTCGGGCTTGGTTCTGACCTCTGATCGATTGTTCAGTCAGCTGATTCAGATAACGAGGTAGGTGGTCCGAGCCACGTTCACATACGTTACGGTTTGTTTTGTCAGTGTTCTCCCAAGTGTACGTGAATTTGTATACGACGAATGAGGCTGATTTTGGATGGCTTATGCGTACCACTATTCAGGTTGACCTTCCTCGATGTAGAATTTAAGAGCAGCTGGGTGGTTGGATAACAGCCACCAACTGCAGCAAATGATTCATGCGTAAAAGCCATGGTTATGTGATCATCACTAAACTGCAATCTAATTAAAACATTTTCCTTAGCTGTATGTACTCCCTTCCGTTGGGATTGCAGCTTTTTGGTTGGTAGACACTCAGCAGTAAGGTGTTGATTGAAATTTCTTGTCCCTGGAGGGAGTAAAATGTAAAAAATTCACCGAGCCAGCCCGAAAAAAACGTTAACCTGACTTCAATCAAAAGCTACTAAAGTGAAAAATTGTAAATGTTGTCCAGTCCACATTAGGTTGATGCACATAGAAAGAATATGGTGGTACTCAAGGTTCAGTTGGCGAGACAAAGACGAACTATCAACATTCCTAAATCTGAGGAATTTCGCTCTATCATACACACGCATTGAGGGAACCCTATTCTCTCAACTAAATCATAGTCAAAAGGTATCCGTCAAAAGATACAACGCTGCCCACAGACTTTTCTTGGTGGTTGATCAAATGTTGATCGGTCCACCGAGGTCGGCAGTTAGATCGCAAACGTTTCATCATCAATCGAGGAAACACCAACAGTGAGCGGCTGGATGAAACGATGACTTCTTAATCGGTTTCGGACCTGCTTTCAGCTGACATAGTTGGCTGATTTGTGTATACCTCGTAGTTTTATTAGGAGGCTTGCAACTTGTACTGTGGTCTGTATTTCCCTCATCCGATTGGTCCGCTGAGTGGCTTTTTCCGAGGGTCTTACCCACGGAGCTGACTCGTCCGTTCTCGAGTTGTGTAGCGTCGTGGTCAGTCCTCCTTGAACACGACTGGCTAATACAACGATCTCTAGTCCTGGTAGTTTTCTTTCTCCGAGTTGGTTGGTTCATATTTCGTTGATGCTACTACCTAATCTTCTTGGAGTTGATTCTCCAGTTGCACCTCCTGTTTCACGTAGATTTCCCTCTCGTGATAGGCGATTCCCTGACGCCGGGTAGGCCAATTAGATTTCTTCCCTTATCGGCTAGTCTCGTATTGTGATCCATGATTCACCAAACAATTGGCCAGATCTTCGTCTCCGTCAGATGGGATAATTCTTTGAAATTAGATTTGCCTGCTTCCCATCCGGTGTCCCAAGCAGCTTTGCCTCTTGAGTTGTGGAGTCCTTTTACTCATACTTATAGATTAGATCGAACACTAATCCAGTTGAACTTGTGTTCATTCCGATCGTTGTGAATGAAACCAAGAGAAATTTGACCATATCTCTTAGATGCAAGTTTTTGTCCACGGAAGGCTTCGCTCATGCTTGTCCCACAAAGCCTCTGTCGAAACCTATGTGAAATTAACCATTATCAGTGCAGTCAACTTTCCTTTGATGTTCCCAGGTCTGTGAGTCGCCGATATCTTACGTTGCCGTAACAATCTTGCAGTCATTTCGGAAATGTTGCTGATGCATGGAAGTGTGATTAGTCTGCCTTTTCTTTGATGGAGATTTTGAGGACTCTCCGGAAGAAATTTCTCGGACTCTCATTGCGTCGGGAAACTTCGTACAAGCGTTTCTCTATCCTGATTTTGTAATTTGCAGTACGCCTCGATCCACTTGAAGAGACAGGATATGGCTTTGTGATATTTCGGATAATATCTGTGGTGACTAAGATGTTGGGCTGTATGAGTCGCCACCTTGTATACTTTGACTTACAGTTGTCCGCTTAGAAATGCAATCCGATTGCCAAGCTCGACGAACAGACCAACAACCAGGAGATTATCAAATTTCAAAACGCCAAATGTGAGTAACCCGGTTCGATCAAGGCAGGTGAAACCTTATGTGCTTTAACTCGAGTCTCGTCCGTAAATTTGAAAGTCCCAGTATAAGTGACCGTGTGGCGTGGCGTAGGGACCGATACGCCGTAGCGACTGTTAGGGTAGATGAAAGGCTATGACAAGAGTCCGTCGGGGCCAACCAAAAGCTGGCATTGTGGGGAGGTGTTCGTCGTAAGTGGGATAACATTATATCTGGTTCTATAAGAATTCCGTTGCAGAGCTATATGAAGGTGTTATACCAGATAACGAACAAAAACATCCGGGTGCTCCCACTGAAACAGAAGATTGGTTGCAGCAGCATTCTATTGTAAAGTACAGAAGAATCCGACGACCAACGACAACTGAATGAAGTGACCTGGAACAAAGTCGACCCAGGGTTCATGTCCTCAAGAAGAAAACAGTTCTGGGCTAGTTTTCAAATGTATAAAAGGCAAGACATTCCAAAAACACTTGCTCAAAAACATGACCGACCTGAATAGGAGCATAAACGAATGTCAGGCAAACAGATCACAGTATAAAAATTAAACCTGGATGCCCAGAAGTTTGAAGAAAGCAGAGTTGTTGGGATCTCGTCCAAGGAAGTCACGTAGCATGTCTGAGGCATCTTTGGATCCACCGGGTTGCAAAATTTTTGTGCGATACTCACGACCGACTGTCTTACTCAAACACCCGCCATCTGGGGCGTGTCTAAAGCGTGACTCATAGAGATCCGCGCTGAAAACTTCACTCCACTGTGAGGAAGAGAATAAGCAAATAATATAAGTGGTGAGAACGTCTCAAGGCAGATACTGCTGCGAATACATTGAAGTAAAAGCATTAACAAGATAATCACTTCCGCTAAGTGATGTGCACGTGGGTTGGGCGGTAAAGCATATATCCATCAACATTGGTTCCAAACCGATTTTGCCTTCCATTTAGAACAAGCACGCAGCTGGTACTGCAAGAGCCCTACACCATACTTGGTGCTTCCCACGCAGGTAGACTATGACACTGAAAACGATCGGTTGAAGTTTGTACGTGTTGTCTCTACATCCGAGTTCCAGTGTTGCATATGCAACGAACGTCACAGAACCCCAACACGCTCTCCGGTCAAGGCGCCTGTAGTGACACCAGAAGTTCACGAATCCAAAACAAAGACAATCCCGTCCGTTGAGGTGAGCTATCACAAATTGTGGGCCAGCCGGTTTTGACCAAGTCAGACAGCCCAAAAGTCGCCTGGCCGACTGATCCTGAAATGGGCCTTGCCGTCAGTGTGCAACACTATTTTGTCGTCACCCGGCGAACTTATTCACGTCTACTAGTTCACGAATCCAAAACAAAGACAATCCCGTCCGTTGAGGTGAGCTATCACAAATTGTGGGCCAGCCGGTTTTGACCAAGTCAGACAGCCCAAAAGTCGCCTGGCCGACTGATCCTGAAATGGGCCTTGCCGTCAGTGTGCAACACTATTTTGTCGTCACCCGGCGAGACTGACTGACTGACTGACTGACTGACTGACTGACTGACTGACTGACTGACTGACTGACTGACTGACTGACTGACTGACTGATTTGAATCTTTTACTTTCATTTTGTGCTGATTGGCCTTGATCACCCATCGTATATCTTTCTAGGTGGCTGGGTTCAATAGTATTTAAACTTCTCTTGTTCAACTGGTGCCACTCAGAGTAGACCATCAGTGTCAAAAACCATGAGCACAACTATTCACAAATCCGAAAATCTGTTTCGCATCCGTTATTCTTGATAAGAAGGAGAGCTCTGGCTTAAATATAGATAAAAAAAAATACAAGTGAAGTTAAAGCAACGCTGGTAAAAAAAAAGATGGGAATGGCTCCTTCGAACATCAAGATTTAACGGGGCGCTGGAAAATGCGGACCAGACAAAACGGTGATTGAACCTTGTGCTCTGAAGACGGTTGAAATTGTGTTGGGAAAACTATTTTTTTGTTTTTTTTACTAACGACAATTGGTCACTGATATCATGGATATAGTTTTCGGGAAGTTCGAAGCGACATGATTTCGTTTATCTTCAATAAAAATTAATGTGGGTTCCTGCTCCATGTTGTCGGCACTCATGGGGTATTTCTTTTCCTTCACCTTCTCGAAGAATCCGTTGTGGCTCCTGCCTTTCAGGGAAACTGCCGTTTTTGCTATTTGGGAACTTCTTATTGATAAATATTTGTACGTGTTTTAGGGACGGAGCACCGGATATATGGTGAATGAAGTCCGGATACCCTCTAATATCAAGAAACGGACACTAAAAGTAAGAAGAATTAATAAAGGAAACTACTCTGAAAGCTCTCCGACAGCCCACTAAGATATTGTCAGGTTTTCTAGAAATACATTCATTCCCAAATCAATTTGGTTTTCACGACAGACTCAACTGAATCTCTCGTTTACAAAAATATACTGCGATATCTCGAATATCGTGCCAATTGAATCATGAGGCGGCCTGTGTGCAGCACATTCAGTTGTAGAATATTACAAACGAGAGATTCAGTTGGGTCTCTCGTGAAAACCAAATTGATTTGCAAATGAGTGTATTTCAGTTTACGGTCCGTCTTCAAGCACAGATTTCAAAAGCCGTCCCTACTCCAACGATTATGGATTGAACGAATCAGCTTGCGAACTTGGTGAAGACGATAACTCTGGCCGCAAAGCTTCTTCAGCAATCATAGTGACACGGGTGCCAGTCGTCAATTCCTCCCAGCTCGCACAAGCGTCGGGCGGCTTCCAAAGGAAACCAGAATAGAACGTATACTTTAACTTCGAGACTAGTTCAAACTTACCTCTGAATGACACGGTGAAATTCCGCGCCTGGTTGGATGAGAAGACTAGTCTATTCATGTGTGACTATATATATCTGAAAGATGTCTCGTTCTACCCATAATTACTGGCTGCAAATACGATAGCGTTGGAGAGGAATAACCATCACTCCGCATCAAGGACAGTGCGAACGAGGGTTCATTAAGGCGGGCACAGTTTGATGAAATATACAAACAACACAGTCGTTTATGATGAGCAACTGTTGTTAATATCCTTTCATAACAGCGGATTTATCTCGGGCTTGCTTGCTAGTAGACAACACGTCGAATTAAGGACTGCTACTCATAGAAAGGTAACGGCGTACCGAAACAGAATATCGTTAGGGGAAAGAATGATTCAAGGTATCCAGTAAGGCCCACCTACATACAGAGATCTTCGAATGATCCCACAAGCAGCACAGCTTCCACGGACTCTAGCTTACAATAAGATACCAAGTATGTGGCGTAGTGCGGCGCGCCATAACCACGGGGTATCCACAGAGCATAATAAGTAGTCAGCAAGATATGGGAGCTGGTGGACTATCAGGATTCCCATTGTCCAGTATGACGCCATCACTTAAAGGACACCTGACTAAGAAAATATGACTATTTCCACCTTAGCATCGTCCATCCCAGAACTTCCACTGCGTACACTAGTCCTGTGGATTGCATCAAGTCACCTACTAATGGGTACTCAGCAATACAATATGTGCATTGTAGTATAATAATACAACAACGTCGAATTCGATGGTACCGACACATTCCCGGACAAGTCAATCGAAAGTTGGGCGTCACATGGCGACTGACACACCGTAGTAACACAGAAGGGGGTTCTTAAATCAAGATCAGGAACTATAGCACAAAAGTATTCACAGAGAAAATAATGCAAGACAAAGAGTTGATGTACAACGCCTGGGAAATGAAGAAAAGGTCCAGACAGAAGGCAACAGCTTACCAAATATCCGTAGTATCTAGCATCGTATCCACCTGCCAGATGTCCAAACGATGCAGGTACGCACGTACCAGGTGTGGGATCAATGTCGCACAATTTTCGACTGAACTCGACATAGACTTCATACGGATCGCTCTAACCAGGTCGAAAAGGGAAAGTGAAATCCGCTCAATAATAAATTCAAAACCAAATTTTTTTTAAATGCGTTGCGATAAATTTATGCAGGATATATGGACAAGCGACCTAAAGAGGGGAAAAACAAACCTTCCACAACATACGCAACACGTGTCATTCAAGACTAACTAAAAGGTGTCACCTGTATCGGAGTACAGGCAGACTAAAGCAAAAATTTAAGGTTACCGATGGTACGATAAAAACAACCAGCACTGTGAAGAACAATGCTAGAGCAGTGGAAGACTAAACTGAATCGTGGAGGCTATATGTGGTCATCGCAGACCAATTTAACGCTGATGGTTGGGGTCCAAGTTCGGGCTACAGGCTGCATAAATCGACTGGTAATAACACGTAGGTAAAAACTTCCAGACTATTCCCAAAGAAATTTCGAGATTCATAGTAGAGAATGATCCCCGTAGCGTGAACTTCAGAACAAACCCTAATAGCCAATGTGTTTGGCTAAAATTGGACAGTCAAGGGGAAACAGCTCGGCCCTTCCTGCTCAAACAGCGGGTACTAAACGAACTAATGCGGGAGTGACTAGAAAAAGTGCACGGGTCGCAATCGCACAAGGCAACACCTGCAAGGGATCGGTAGACCACGTTCATATCAAGACGGGCAATTGAATCGCGATGAGGCGGTTATATGGAAGCGCCGCCGGTGTGTCAGGTTGTCTAAAATTAAGACAACACAAGTTAATGCTATAGCATCTATCAGTGGCTCAATAAATTAAAAACGATAAGTATACGTGTGTGGCACTATTAAATCTAGGTTGCGATTGCGTCGACAACAATGCACCACACAACGAGTGATGAGGCATGGAAGCATTTTTGTCTGTATGATTCATGGTTATATATGGGCTAAGGTACAACCAGGGCGCCCACACAGGGACAAACACATCACTAGGCCCCCAAGAAAACTTTGGCTCAAAAGCCTGACTGAGAGTCAGCGGTCGCTAGAGTGACTATTGGAGTCACCTAGATTTTGAAGAACAAGGTGTCCTATATGTGGCACACCTCAACCAAAAGGCTGTTTGTCAGACATCTATCAAGTGACCAAAGTGGTGGGAGAGATTCTTCGGATACTGCATTGGTATCAAAAAGTTGCTGATATTCGCGAACTTCATACAACGCTGTGCTCTAGTGTCTTTGCGACAAAAACCAGCTTGCGATCCGGTGAAAATAACGACTACGGGAGAAATAAGGGACATCTTGAACATTTGAACTCGTAACGATTAATCTAAAACGAATTCCTCAATACTAACCACCAGAAATTCCACCCAAGTATTCATCCAAACGAGGTAAAAACGCCGGACATTTAGCTGCAACCAACAAATAATGAGCCCTCATACAACGCGAATTATTTGGATTCTTAGCCGATATCTGCACCCTGATAAGACGGGAAAGGAACGCAAAGATCCAACCTCATTTCATCCGGCTCCAATATGTGGCGATGGGGATCACGAGAGAGCCCAGGTGAGACTCAAGTTTGTGTAAACGACATAGAAAACCATATAAAAAAACCTGTCCTACTTAGAGTTACCCGATAGGATACACCTGAATTTGATGCCAAACTGTGGGTGGGTACAAACTTCTCTTTCAAATGAGAGGAGTCATGGTTACCGGACACAACCCGTCGTGCAGCTACATGGTGTCATATCACTGTGTCCTGTGGACAGCGCAGCTCAGGGGCATTTCGTCATAACCTAATAAACCAGTGATAATGATTGTAATAATAACCGTTCAGTTGTAACATCCTTTAAGTGTTCAGCTGCCATAGTCATCCAGCTGTAGCAGCCTTCCGGTGCCTAGCTGCCATGCCACCTGGATGAAGCACGAGGGCTGGGACGCTGCCAGAGAGGCAGGAGTCGGGTTCGAACCACGGACCTTCCGGTCCTACTCGAACCAGTTTGCCCCCCATCTGCCATGGCATTCAAAGAAATCATGAGGGCTGAGATATTGCCAAAGCCTAGATAAGAACAGTGGAAATACAGAGGTCGGGTTTAAACAACAGAGCCCTCGATTAGTAAGTTCGCGCTGTAACCACTGAGCGGTCTCGGGCTAGTGACGAGAAGGCACCATGATTAAGGTCAACAGGACAGAAGTTTTTCCCCTTGTAAAGAAAACCTACATTCCAATGTGTCGTGTGGATGGCCTGATCGAAGGTGGCAAGCAACACCTGCCGCGTATAGAACAGTCCAGCAGTAGCTTTCCGGGACGCCAAAAGACGGTCCAGCAACTCCTTAGGTATCGGCTCAGCTTCCGCGCCTAACAAGGCCTTCAGACCGTCCTCATTCCACACCCAGTTCTCCAACATTTGTGAGGGACATTCAACGAAATCCGTCTCCACGTGAGTACCGCTATGGGACAGATAAGTAGAATGTGTTACGAAAAGTGGAAAGTGAACGGCAATATTGTACACATGAGATTACGGTTAGATTACAGTGAAATTCAGTGGGAGCCGGATGAGCCCAGATGGGTAGTGGATGGATAAAGCAACAAAGAACCAGATCGAAAATAAGAAAAGTCACTAACCTGAAAAGCTCGCATTCTGCGCGCGCACAAATGGCATGCATCAAGTGGCCGAACTCGTGGAAGAATGTGTTAACCTCATCGTGCAACAAATAGGCTTCGGATTCAGCGGTAGACGGTCCGGTGAAGTTCGCGACGATAGCCGCCACGGCCACCTGACGTTCGACACCCTCACCAGATGCCGTCTCTTTACGTCGTAAACAACCGGGCTGCAATCCAAACACGGCAGCATGGCCGAATTTCCCCTCACGGGGATGTAGGTCTAAATACATATAGCCCAGTAGCTCCTTCGTGTCTGTATCGGTGACAGAATACTAACGAAATACAAAAGGAAGGAATGTGAGTAGCTCGTAAACCAGTTGACAAAAAGTAAACATTGTCCAGTGCTTCCATGTGTTTCTAAGATACCACACCTGACAGTCATATCACAGATTAAAGCCAATCAAGCCACGGTTAGCTGAAGAGGGCTATTCTGAGGGGACTTAGGTTCTGGCTTTTTAGCAAAGTTCGAAAAACTGGATTCAAATTTAGGTTTAAGGTTAATCAAACGATCCGCCTTACGAGTCTGGAACTTGCGGATTTACAGAAGTTATTATTAGGTTTACAGAGGTGCAAAGGTGGCCTTTTAAGCACCGGTGTTCAAATCAACCTGGTCACTGACCAAAACCAGCTAGCCATAGGTAATTAACTCGAACGCGTCCTATGACTGATGCGTACTGGTGAGACACCCTCCGCACATATTGTGGGTTTCAGTTGATTAGTTTCCCCAGACAAATGGGCAGTTGTGTCACTGGAAGCTGACAACTCTAGAACTTGCCCCCCTTACAGAAGTTATTATTAGGTTTACAGAGGTGCAAAGGTGGCCTTTTAAGCACCGGTGTTCAAATCAAACTGGTCACTGACCAAAACCAGCTAGCCATAGGTAATTAACTCGAACGCGTCCTATGACTGATGCGTACTAGTGAGACACCCTCCGCACATATTGTGGGTTTCAGTTGATTAGTTTCCCCAGACAAATGGGCAGTTGTGTCACTGGAAGCTGACAACTAGAACTTGCCCCCCCCCCCTGGTTCATTATTGAATCTTGTTTCATCTAGTTCACACCGGATGCAGGGCATTCGGCTGACCGCACACGCAGCCCAGTGCAAAACGCGTACGTTATGCACTGCCGTTCGTGTGAATCTACAGGTACAATTAAATGCGACAAGCAAAACTAACTCACTATAGTTGACACAACATCAACAACCAACGATGAGTAATCCTATACCTCGTCTGGATAAAAATACCCCAACGTTGCTTCTTAACACAGTCAGTACTACAAGAAGAAAACGATTGGTTCCGACAGACTCACCATTTCCACATCCGGATGCCATACTCTGTTGTATTCCACATCCGGATGCCATACATCTGTTGTATTTACGCGAGCAAAAGTCAGTCCGAGCAAATGTTGATATAACCGCAACACTCCGGCTTTGACAGCGCGCAGAGGGAAGTATTTCTTTAAGTGGTGATGATCCACCGCGTAGTCTTTCTCTTTGATAAGATTAATGTAATACCGGAGATCAGACGGTTCAATGCGGTTGACGAAAGGATAGCCCAAGCGCTCACACTGTGGACAGATGATAAGTTGATCGTGAACAGAATTTATTTGTGGCAGCTAAGTGATAGCTAGTACTGGCTAAAAACGTCCCCCTAAATGTTATACGATCAAGACAGAGGAGGAGTACGGACGGGTTGTCTTAGAAGCCTACCTTTGATCTGAATGAACCTGAGAAACCAAGTCAAACAATTAGAAAACCGTTCCAAGGATTGCACAAACTGAGAAACAATTACACACATTGCCATACGAACGGAGAGAGAGCTGATCACACTGCTGTTTAGCCGCTCGAGGCCGAACGGTAAAATGATCAGCCACGGGTTGAAAGGTCAAGGGTTTGAAACTGAGATGCGCACTGCTGATTATTACCGGTGATCGTGAAACAACTGTACAGTGCTTCTCAACTTTTCAGCACAGGCTGGTATCATTAACAGGACGAAATCTCAATCGGGAACAGTAATTCACTCACGTTCCTTATTGGGTGCCACCTCGATTATTTGCCGGATCGCAACTAGTTTTCGAAAACCTCACGTCCTGCATCAATACAATCGAACTCCAGTGAATGTCGATTCTTCAGACGGTTTTGCCTTGTTTGTACGTTAGAGGAAACCTCATACGTTGGTTTCAAACGTATGACTTCATTTAGCAGCCACTTGGATGAGGGCACGATGTTCGGTGATGACAGTATGCATAAACAAATGAACGTGGTACTGAATAACTATCCAAAGCGCGGTACGAATGAATGGATTCGTGAGTGAACTCATAGGAACCCCCCACCTTCAACGCTGAGCTATCTCAAGCTCTTATTACTGATACTAACTCATGCACTGTGTATAGGATATTGTGTTTTGAAAAGTGTAGAAAAGACGTCAAGTGTACAGTTAACTGCGGCCTTGTAGCGCTACTGGTGATATTGGGATTGCTGCAAGACAGTTGTTCAGTGCCTGATAAAGCATAGATAGATCTGATTCAATCGGACCATGCGAAGCAGGAGAATCTCCTACTATGAGCGCAGTGATGCATCCCTGGTTAGATGAAAGTGACTATCGACACCCTTCAGTCCGTAGATTGCGCGTACGTATTTACCTGAATGCGCAATCAGCTATGAGAGGTGAACCTTCGAACTCGATCGCCTAGACTGATGGATTCGTTCCAAACCTGTAACCACGACTGCCTACACTGGCTACCTAACCCCTGAATTACAATTCCGTCCATCAAGCCCACATAAACATTGAGAAATTAAAACGGGCACATACCATCACAGTAATTCGGGCATTGAAGGCGCGTAATAAGTCCCCTCAGAGGAAGGATCGCCCGAATTTTGTGACGAGTTGAAAAAAGGTTTTGAGAACTAGCAAGTGCACATCCCCAGTCTTAGGACGAGCTTTTTTATGAAAGTTGGAAATTTTGCTCTGTCGCGTGAATATCCAATGCGTTGCGTCAACGAGACCATCATTCTTCCTGCGCGAACATCTCGTTCGGTTTGGAGTGGCGGTATTCAAGCATACATACCTCAACCGCCATCATGAACCCTTTCTGGTATTCGAAAGAATGCTCGAATGATCGTCTCAATACGTATATGGTTCATCCACTTAGTGTCTGCTATACTACACGGAGAGCGGTGACTAAATGTGACTGAATTATTCAAGTCCGAGGAGCCCAGTTTCACATCCACAGAGTAGGACTACTACAAGGTGATACTCGTCTCTGACAAGAAAGGTGACGCAAGTTGGAAAACTATTCGTCTTACCTTGGTGACGCTTTCACTAGCTTCATTTGTGTAAGCTTTTTTAGTTCGTCTTACCTTGGCGACGCGTTCACTAGCTTCATTTGTGTAATTACGGCTTGTACAGCTGTCAAGATGAACAAGCCCTTGAAAAAACCGGGCTGCTCATTCTGAAGTTTCAAATAGGTACATAAGGGCGGGAGATCCTTAAATGCGATCTTCAACGTACAAACCGTGTACTCAAACAGAAGACTACTGCCGACATAGTATTCAGAGTATTTTGAGCGAATGTTTGGGCGTCAAATAAAAGAACAGTCACTCACACAGTCTAAGTCTACCAACAGCTCTTGAGACGTGGTCTCAACGCCCAGATTCACGGTCCTTTGAGAAATACACTTCATGAGGGAGTCAGTGACAAAACTGAACATCAATTTGGACAGAAGACGTTTCGGCAATCAAGATGTCCGCTGTTGCTAAATATTTCAATTTTCAAATTTCCAATAGTATCCCAGAGTATCTCAGTAAGAACCGGTTCTAACAGTAATGCTTTGTATATCAGGTGGAAAAGTTTCCGCACATTTCTAGCTGCACCGGCTTTGTTCATTTCCAGGACTGTGGGTCATAAATCCTTTCTATGCCAAGACGAGGAATTTGTTTTTTCGTCCCCTCTCCCAAGTAACTTATGGAAAATCTACACCGGGCTACAGCATGACCTGGGTAGACGTGAGTGGTCCAGAAAATAGGCAGTCATGAACAGAACCTTACACTTTCACCGAAGCAGAACTACAGCTAACTGATACATATGCAGGAACTATAAACAAAGAATGAATATTATTTCGACGAGTGCGGGTCAATATGGAGGGCGAGAGACTAACAACGCAAACACTATCATCTACGAGGATCTGGTCACGTGAACAGGCCTTCATTCGAGAAGCGAGAACTAAAAGAATACCGGCAAAACGCGTCGCAGTAGGTGCAGAATCGCCTGAGGTTCATAGCCAAGTGTCTGCAATTTAGAGAGTGACCACTAAACAGGACAGAAGGGGAGTTAAGAAATAATATTGAAGAGGGCAGGTGTCAGCAGCCCCTTTTCGTTTACCCACCCTGTTGTACGCAGCAAGTAAGGTGACCCGGATGATTACGCGACAGCTGGTGTGGCGATACTGCCAGGACATCCAGGCTTAAATGGGAGGACTATTAGGGTCCTGAACCAAAGCCTTTAGCTTGAAAGCATAAACGCGAAACAGCGGTGGTAGTCGTAAGACCGTCAGAGCACCGTCAGTGTACACATTTTTGAGGAACAAGGCAACATATATGTTCTGACACACAATCTAGAGAGCCAATATGTTGTGTTACAATAACCTGTAACCATTTACCAACGGAGTATGATACTCTGTTAACCACCAATATAGCTCAATGGAGGGTTGAAATTTTATGAGGTAGATTCATCCCACCACACTGTTGCCCTTATTGCCTTGTTCAAAGTGATCCGGAGATCGCAGTTCCATGAAGAAAAATGAAAGAGACCGAAAGTGTGAGGCACAGGAGCAATAATTGAGGGTGTTGGAAACCTGTGTCGTTAACACAGATCATTCCGATGTACTAGTATGAAATGAAATCACCTGCATAGCTGGCAACTGACAGAGATAAAAACACGGGGGAATTTGTAACAAAAAGCCCCATGTGATGTTACATTCCGTACTCGTGAAGTCAAGAAGCCTCAGCATGGATGAGAGGGTTTTCAGCGACGTCATTCTGTGAAGGAGAAAGTGTTAATAGGACAATCCAAGTCGGGACCGCAGAAGATCAACCGGAGTACAACCGAAGAAAGACCGATCCTAACGAAACTTTCGGTCTGAAAACTTATACGGCACTGTAATACGAAGATGCAAGTGTTGGAAAAAAAACACTAATCGTAACATTATGGTAAAGAAATGCTCACTTCTTCCTTTTTCAATTGTAAAACACGAGCTGTTTCTTTTGCTCGAATGGGTTCCAGCTTCTGGGCGACGTCCTTCAAGAAGGCATTCACAGTGGCGGCTGTTTTGGCCATACGAATATCGACAGTAAAATCCGCGTGGGTTGGAAAACCTAGCATACTGGAGCGCTGTAATGGACAGGCGTGAAATTAAGTTAGAACACAACAGAAAGGATAAGGGTAGCACTTAATAAATGAGCAAAACGCATACTTCAATCGCCGCCCTAGAAATTTCCAAAACATTTAGGACTAACTTGGATCAACATTTGAATTCTTGAAACAATATGTCGCGTGCTTGAAGGATGCAAAACGCCGCTAGCGCAAACACGAGCTGCAAGCAAGGATCCGCACATTTAAGACATGCGATTATTCACCACTTAAAGATATCATTTCTTACATACTTCCTATCAAAAACGTTTTGCCCTTTAACCCCGCAACACACGCAAGAATCACGCCTTCAGGCAACCCACGGCATCGAAGATATCATTTCAGCCGTGGGCAAGCTTTGTCATTATGTCCGACGCGAGTGAAGTAGTAGAAGAGGGGAAGAACGTGTTGTTAACCCATTAGAAGCTTTCTGTGCCTAGAGCTCCATACACTCATTCAGAAAATCTGGACAGAAACTGATAATAAGAGCGCTATTGATAGCAACTAGCGGTCATATCTTGAGACGTCTCTAACAATTTACAAAGGGATCACGTCGACTTCATCCTGGGATATGATTCGGATCGGAAATACCCAAACTTTTCGTCAGAATTTTCACAAATTTATGGAAGGTCAGACGCTGACCACCTCTCTGTTTCCGCTAAAGTGAGTTGGAAAACAGCACTGCTCTTCGCAAACGATGATTTGACATAAGTAATGCGTGGTCCAACCACCGAAACTTTTAGTGTTGGACAATTCTCCGTTAGACAACCGAACACTCCTTCTCCAATTGTCTCGTTAAGGATTTGCTTCAACCAGCCCAAAACTAGATATAGTTCTGATACCTAACAAAGACATGAAATCGTCTCATTTCCGCTACTACTACTCTCCGAGGTCACGTCTCAAAAGTATACTACAAAAAAACCTGACATACACGTCTAGTGAGATCCAGAAATAAGCTGCTTTGTCGCCAAACACCACCATAACGTTACATCTCATGGGCTACACCCGTTGCAGACGATACAGCTTCATAGGTCCGTATGACGCCCCGCAATCTCGAGTCCAGTTTCTAGGATTGAGTGGTGTGTTCAATGACTGTGTGTTGATGAGCAATATGTGCGGGTGTGTGAGTTGGTGGAAAGACGCGACGACCAGTCGGTTCGTCCAAAATCAGCCATGCGTTCTCCTCCTTGAAGAGGAGAAAAACGTCGGGCGTATAGACAGGGTATTCGTCAACAGCCACTGAAACATCAAGGTCCTGAAGAGATTTCAGAGTTCTCGACAATGTCTCTATAATCATGAAGTTAAACAGATATAAAGGAGGTCGGGATCGTATTCGGACAACAAGTTTTGTAAGAAATCATCATCAATGTCGACTGTAATAACCACGTACTCGTCGTACAGTGGTTGTAACTGCCGCAGTTTCGTTCACCGATGACTTGGGGGGGGGGTAGGTAGCTACGCACTGTATGGGGGAGATGGTAAATTGGTGCATAAATCCAACACTGTCAGTGGGCTGTCAAGTGGGGTGGGGGTTGGAAGAGGACCTATGCACTGAAGGCAATGGCTTGGATGCACGAGCGCCATTCAGCCATGGGGCCATGTCTGACAATGTCCCTAACCATTGATGTGGCCTATCTCGGGGTCCCCATCCAGGAAGACGGCAGTGACCAGCGCAGCTGAGTTTGCTGGTAATGGCTTTTCTACTTCGCTGCCAAGTCATTGTTTGACCGTCTCTGGCTCACTTTTATCCTTCACGTGGTTGTGCGAAAAGAGCCCTTCGAGGAAGTCGGTCGACTGGCATACGCTGCAAGTGGCCAAGCCAGCGCAACCGATGCAGTGTGATCAGTTCATCCATCGAGTGTTATTTCTACCGAATACTATTCGACGTACTTCAGAATTGCTGATCCAGTGTTCCCACCAGATTTGGGCAATGCTCCGAAGACATCGATGGTTAAACACCGGAAGTCTTTTGACGTCCTCAGCGCGCAGCGGGTAGGTTTCTGATCCATATAGTAATGTGGAGCGCACCAAGGCATTATAAATTCGACCCTTGACAGAGAAGCTGCGCCACAGGGTGACGTAGGTTCACAAAAGCTGTTCTGGCCTTCCCGATCCAGATGGAAATATCATCTTTCGCGAGACCACCGGGACGGATACAGCTGCCCAGGTGAACAAATTTGTCTACTACCTCAATTGGTTCATCCGCAAGTATGAGGCTAGGGACCGAGCCCACCCAGTCTTGCAGTAGCACTTTACATTTTGCAGGTGTGAAGCGGATGAAGAAGCGCGAGGCAGAATTATTTAGACTATTTAATATTTTTGCATTACTACAGGGGTCAGATCCAAGAAGAGCTATGTCGTCTGCGTACTCGATGTCTGTGAGCGGAGGCCCAGGGAGCACTTTGACCCCAGAGGCATTAGAGGCTGGTGGTGAGTCTTCCATGATCGTATCAATAACGAAGTTGAAGAGGAAAGGTGAAGAAAGCTTTTGGAGAGTTCAGTATGTAACGTCGTGGGCTGCGTATCTGACACTAGAAATAGATTACTGTGTTCACAAACTTCCGGCGAAGTGAAATGTATTTTGGAAACTCAGGAATATGGTCGCTTATCTTGGACCAGTCTTGCAGCACCTAAGCGAGGGTGAGGATTTGGCCAATGCAACCAAAACCAGGCCAAAATTCTTCTAACGACCATCGAGCCAATGCTTCACAAGCCACCGTACGTCCAGGAAGAAGAGGTGACGTTGAGAGTCACCCGTTGTAACACGGGTCAAACTGATCTACCCCACTCACTGCGAGATCTATTTGAAAATGAGCACTACTATCGATCCAGTGATTCTGCTCTTCCAAATCGAGCCAAGCTGGAAATGAGGTTGACGGAACAACGGGGACTACACCTACCTGATGAGCTCTAAAACGGGCAAAACCGGTAGTGGGTTGTTGCGGGGACTACACCTATCTGATGAGCTCCAAAACGGGTGAAACCGGTAGTGGGTTGTTAAAGAGATTTCAACAACCTTTCAAGTATTATTATGTCAAGGAATGACAATTGAAGGGTGACCAGATCACTGGTCCGGTAATTCTACGAGTTTGTAATGCCCCCACGTACGGCGAGTGTTTCACCCACGATCCACTATAAGTAACTGCCTGGTCACCAAGTTAGGTGAAACTGAGGCAGCTGAGTGTGAGGGCTGTTGAACACGCCCCCATTAGAGTTGGGAACTACGAGAATCATCGAATCTGGCTGCAGCTGATGGTCTAACGTCACACGCCAATAAATCGAATATTCTATCCGTCGTCAGTTGATGTAATGCAGACAGTGACTAGATACGAGAACGGCGAAAGCAACGGTTTGCTGTGATCTCCTGAGATAGTGGTCAAGACCGGTAACCTGATCTACACCAAAAGAAACAACTTGGTAACCAAATGATTCGTTTTAGCTTGCTTGTTCTACGTTTTCGACTGCTGTACGTGCTCACGAAGATACAGCAAAGTACATCCGTTAAAACGTACAACGCTGGAACTGCGTTTTATTTAAATCTTATTATCAGGAAAGCTGTTTCCAAATAGCGAGAGCTCTTCCGTTGGCGAATAGTCAACGTATACATTCTGCTCCGCCTTGAACGCACATGAGACTGTTGTTTCCCCAAACCTTGTATTATTTCTAAACTGGAGCGCCTCGACTCTAACCTCCTCTAATCAGTTAAACTAGAATATATA